ATCAACATCAATCTCAGGAGAACGAAAAAAAAAAAATCTAGAAACGCAGAATTGAACAAACTTTTACAAAATCAAATGAATAAACAAATCAAAAGTGGCGAATCGAATCAAAAAAACGAAAACTCAATAGGAAGCAAAACTCGAACCGATCGGAAAGCACATCAAAGAAAAAATCAAAGCTGAAAATGAAAATTGTAATAATATTCTTAAGACGCAGAAATCAAACGAGAACACACCGTCATGAATTCTGGAGAGAGAAACGCTTCCGAGGAAAAAAAATGGAATTTCAAAATCAATCGAAGGGAGAAAACAACACTGACGGATTGAGAGAGAGAGAGAGGGAGGCGACTTTTGTAAATTGGGCTAAAAGTGGGCTTCTTGGATACGATTACACGAAGAAATTATAAAACAAAAAATAATTTTTTTTTATTATTAAAAGAAAATACTTTTTATTAAATTATTACAAAATTGAAACTAAAATAATTAAATAAAAATATATAATTTATTTAGAAGCGAATTTCATTCATTTAAAAATCCCAATTTAATTCTTAATGGTTTAAAAATTTATAATTTTATATTTATTTAATAATATTACTCAATTATATTCTATAATAATTAAACTTTTTATACGAATCATTCAAATAATTTTTTATGGGAAATTCGAAAAAAATATTCCACCTTTTTACTTTGCAACAACTCCAAATGCTCGTCTTTTTCATCCTAAATGATCCGTTTATCCTGAAATGATCTAGTCCAATAAGGAAATCTTAATTCGTTGGACCTTTCGGTACGATAAATAGAAGCCCTAATGACATCATATTCTCGGAGCCCAAACCCTTACTAGTATTACCTAGAGGTATTCACGGGTTGGATTGGGTTGGGAAAATTGTTTGAACCAATTCGAAAAATTTGGGTTGGTGAATGGTGACCCGAGCAACCTGAATAGAGTTCACAACTCAACTCTACCCGGCCATCTATTTTTGAGTTGGGTTGGGTTGTCGGGTTGTTTTTTTTATAATTATTTTAAAAAATTCTACTTATCCACAATACATGTTACGTTAATAACTTAAATCTCATAAAACTCAAGTATCAAACATTCACAAGTCACAACATATCACTAACATCGGTTACCAATGTCAAATATTATCTTTAAAATAGGATTGGGTCGTAACCCTGTTTTTTGATTGGTCGAGTTGACCAAACAAAAATGTCAATCTGCAAATAGGATCGAATTTTTTATTTTTCAAAAATTCAACCTAACCTTTATGATTTTTGGATGATCCAAATTGGTCGAGTTCTCGTGTCATTTTAATATCCTCAATTGTACTAAGAGACAGAAAACGATACGCTCGAGAGAATTTAAATACAGTAAATGAGATACGAAATCTTAAAATTATCAAAATTAATAAAGAGATTGAAACATAAAAATTAATTATGAAAATGATAGTATAAATAAATAAATAAATAAATTATTTATTTATATATATATAATATATATATATATATATATATATATATTTATGATATTTTAGTGAATTAAAGAGATGTCAACATTACTTAAATCTTGACTTTATGATGAAAAATTAATTATTGTTTATATGGGAATCTATCTTATATAATTAATAAATGAAATTAAATATTTTCTCACCAAAAACAAAGAAAAAAAATTTTAAAAAATTAAATTCATGATAATGACATTTATATGCTTTTAGGCATTTTATCTTTATTTATTTTTTTAATCAATTTGCAAACTTAATTATAAATTAATATTAAAAAATAATAAATTAAAAGTGATTTTAACTAAATTTTGCCAATTCAATTATTTTTTTATTTTTTTAATTCAATTATTTTAGTTCCAATAGTTTTGGATTTATGCTATTTTAATCTCTATATTTGTAAATATTTATATTTAATTTTTCGTGTTTTTAATAAAAATTAAAATGGGCTCATATCTCATCGGTTATCATAGTTTGTTTGGATATGTCATCTGGGTTTATATCGAGGCATGAATTCTTCCGTGTCCATGCTAAGTCATTTAAGGGTCCCATACCAGTCCCGTGTCCAACCTCCGATACATAGGCGAGGGTGCAATGTCAACACGCAAAAGAGTTGCCCGAGACACTCATCTTGCAACGCTCGCCTGACTCGTGTATGTGTTATAGGGTAACTCGTTTAGACAACAGATGCAAGAGGTGATGGAGAGCGGTGTATATTATTAGACCATAATATTAAATATGTCGGTAAGAAAGGTTGAATTTTAAAATAATTATAAAAAAAATTGGTTAATTTTCAACTATTGGCTGTTGACTTTGAACGCTCCTTTCTATAAATCAAAATCAAATGGCCCTGTTGTTATCTTCACCACAAAAACTGTTCTATTGGCTCTCTCTCTCGCTCTCTCAAAGAGCTTCTTTAAGTTCATCTTTGATTTGGAAAGCTGTCATTTTGAAGGTAATTTTTTTTCATTTTGCTCTTTTTTTTTTTTTATCTTTTTTTTTTGTGAAATTTCTCGTTCCCACGTCACTTTGATTGTTGGAGGAAAGTCCCACATCGGCTAATTTAGGAAATGTATTTAGGGAATGATCATGGGTTTATAATAAGAAATACTATCTCCATTGGAATGAGGCCTTTTGGGGAAGCCCAAACAAAGTCACGAGAGCTTATGTTCAAAGTGCAATATCATACCATTAGGAGAGTCGTGATTTCTAACATGGTATTAGAGTCATGCCCTAAACTAGCCATGTCAATAGATTGGCAAATCTTCAAATGTCGAACAAAGTATTGTGAGTTTCAAAGGCATAGTCAAAAAGTGACTAGAGTATCGAATAAAGGGTGTACTTTGTTTGAAGACTCCAAAAGAAAAAAAGAAAAAAATGAGACGACCCTTGATTAAGGGGAGGCATACTTTGTTTGAGGGGAGGAGTTGGATGAAAGTCCCACGTTGGCTAACTTATAATCAATGAATACTATCTCCATTGGTATAAGGTCTTTTGAGGAAGCTCGTGGGATGATTAATGTTGACAGAAGAGAGAGAGCACAACCCGATTGATGGGTAAAGAGATTCTTTTTCTTTGTTGGGAGTGTACTCTCTCTTCTTCCGTCAACTGGATTCTCATTTCTCCCACTGAAAGACCATGTTGAAAAGTTGCTCGAGTGCAAGTCAAAATCGAAAAATTAGTGGCTCAATGAGTCTTAGTAGTTAAGTTTGGATTTACAAACTCGTTGTCAATTTTGATGCTTTTATACGAGCAATACTTTATCTCGTTGACATGTATTTTTTTATTTTGAGGTTGGAGATTCAAATCCTCGTTCTCCCCCACCCCACCCGACTGCTGTACTCAAAAAATCAATGGTAGTGGTTAAGATCTACCTCCAAGAATTTTGGTTGTTAGGGGTAGCTTAGATTGTGACTCATCACATTAAAATTAAAAAAAATATCAAATAACTTAATTTTGCTTTCACACTATATTTTGATTTTTTAATAAAAATATAACAATTTTAGTCCTTATTAAGTTATAATGATATTAACAACTATATTATGGAGATTGAATTAAACTAAATTCGGAAAGAATAAAATTTATGAATAAAAAAAGATTTTTTTTTTTTTTAAATTTATGTCAAGTCATCTACTTCTCGATGGATCTCTCTCCTATTAGTACGCTTCTTCATTCTTAATTAACAATCATCCCCACAATAACTTGTTAGGAAATCCCACATTGATGGGAGAGGAAAACGAAATATTTCTTATAAGGGTATGAAAACTTTTTACTAGTAGACACGTTTTTAAAAATCGTGAAACTGATGACAATACGTAGCGGGTCAAAACGGACAATATCTGCTAGCAGTAGACTTAAACTATTACAAATGGTATCAGAGTCAGACATCGGACGGTGTGCCAATGAAGACACTGGGCTTTAAGGAGGTGGATTGTGAGGTCCAACATCGGTTGAGGAGGGAAACGAAATATTTCTTATAAGGGTGTGGAAACTTTTTCTCAATAAATGCATTTTAAAAGCTATAAGGATGATGGTGATATACAACAGGCCCAAAGAAATTATCCGGCACTTGCAACCTGATCTATGATCATAGCTCTACTGACATGCTACAGAAACATATTGAACTGACCTTAGATATGCTTATGCAGTGAATTTAACCTAACTTTGTTCTGAATCAAATGCCGAATCCTTATCAAAAGACACATCTTCACAGTTTGGATTTTATGTTTTTCCATCGTTCTTTTTTTAAAGTTATTTTTTGTGGTTGTTCTTCCTTTTACTTTAGGAATAACATAATTTTTCAAGCAATGGACCTATTAGGAGGAAAAGGAAATAGAAGCAAAGATTCTATCAAGGCAAGAACAACATACAAAAGAAAAATCTAGTTTCGGCTCCGTTATGAATCTTTGGGATGCATTTGATATGAACCAAGGCATCTCAATCATGCAATATAAATGTCACATTAAGAAGAATCAAGCTTCATTTATGCAACAGTAGCTTTAAGATACTTCAAGTGGGGCTTCAATTATTCTTAGATGGTTACAAATTTACGGGAGATAATAACTTAAAGTTATTGTATTTCTTTAATGTTAGGTCAAGTGTCTTCATTTTGAGGCTATATAAATCCATGTATGTTATCTTTGTATTTGTAAAGTAGACATTTGTACTTTCCTTTAGCCAGCGACTAAGTTTCTTTGTAATTTTATGTAGTTTAGATAACATGAGAATCATTCCAGCTTGATATGATGATCTTACTTGTGGAGTGATTCAAATCTCAAACCGATATTCTTGCCTTGAGATCTTCGATCAACAAGGTAATCTAAATCTTACTTCCCTTGTAGTGATTCCATATCACTATTTATACAACCAAAGTTTATTCATACTATGGCTTCCTCCGACATAGACCTAGGTAACACTACTTATGCCGTTACGGGCGTTAAGGTTACTCATTTCTTTTTCTAGAATATAATCAAAATTTTCCGCTTCAAGTTGAACAATCTCATCTGCACTTTCATCTTCTTCATAAGATAATATATTAAAAAAAATTGTACATAGAGAAGCTATGTTAGAAACTAGTGCTTTACACCTACGAGTTGGAGTAACCTAATTCCTCCCCCTGCCTACCCCAAAGCAAAAGAAGGGAAGGTTAACACCAAGAATTCACTACAGCCTTCTTCCCCGACTGTTTCATGGTTGAGATATCCAGTCATAAGGAGGGTGGTGAGAACCGGGTTTTATAGTTTATTTTGGTGCTAAGAAATTGACCCTACATATAAAGCTGCGTAGTTGTACAATGATCATCTCAATTTATAGCTATTCAGAGTTATAGAGCAGCAAGAAACTAGTCACCTGAGCAGCAATTCCTTGAGAAATTAATCAGCAAATCTGCGACATAATATAGCACTCCATCATTTCAATGAGACATGGCATAAATAAAAACAGTTGCAAGTCTAAATTAGCTGCTGATTATTTTCAGAGAGTTACATGTTAATAGATAATAAGATAACACGATAAAGATAAATCTAGTTATCAGTAACAATAGATCTAAATAATAATCTTTAGATACAATAATTCCTAGATATTAGGTAACTAAATCTCTTAGATACTAGGTAACTAAATCTATCCTTCAAAAGAGAGAGAAAAGAAAAGAGTCAGTATTTGAAGGGAAAGGAAAAGGAAGAAGACGAAGACAGAGTTTACAATTCTTCAAGTGATTGAATTCAATCGAATTAATCTTGAGTCTTTCTTGTTTACGAGGCGAATGAGAAAAAAACAAAAGCTAAGGAGCGAAGCCACCGAGTTTATAGTTCAAGAATAAATAGGTGAAGGAGCGAAGACGCTCAAACATCCTTTCATTTTCTTCGTTTACAGTGTTGGAAGGGAGAGGAAAGAAAAGATTCTCAACCGATAGCATCCGCCTTTACCGAGTGAAAAAAGGTTCAGGAGAGAAACCTATTTACCGAGTGAAATAAGGGAAGGGTGGCTAAAAGATTTGCTCAAATACTAAAGTCGATGTTATGTACATAGGCCTACTTTACTAACAGTGATCCTCAAATGCCAAGAAGTCCAAACAAGTGGGGTTGCAACTAATTTATTAAACAAGGCAAAAATGATAAACCACGATATGATGTTCAAGTCAGAGAAAAACAGCAGTTTAGTAAAAGCGTACCTAGGCAAGTCTCTTGCACAGGCAGAAAGGGGAATGTTTGTGTTGGAGATAAAAATCTATCCACATTGTGAAGGTTCGGTCTATTGTCTATTTAAACTGATGTTGTCGAGGCAAGAGAACTGCAAAACAGTTAAACTAACTCAGTGTGCTTTTATTTAATAAGAATTAAAAGCTGCAACCATCTTTATGCGTTAATTTCACCTTCAGCTATGTCACAAAAACTTTTCGGTGGAAAGATAATTTCTGGATCCAATCTTTTCTGGGAAGCAAAAAGAACAGCTAAGCGATCCTTACTGCATAAGGAAGTATGAAGATATTAGTTCTAACAGAAAAAACGGCAAATTTGAAATGTTCTTCGGGATAATCTTTGACAAAATAAATGCACAATGTACTAAATTGCATTATTGGAGTTCAAATCACATTTGTTATTTCCTTGTTGCTACACACCTGGCCCATGAAGGAACAAATTTGTTATTTTGTATGCCGTCATCGTCATCCTCTTCATCTTCATCATCAGAAGCTTTGTAAGGAGAGATCTGATATGATTGTTCTTCACTTGTTTCGGAGATTCTATCTTCCATCACATTTTCGAGTGCCTAAAGAAGATCATAAATTTCCGCATGAAGCAGATAAAATGTTAAATATTTAAGAAATGATTGTCAAGGTTATAGTCATATGAAGCTCAAAGGAGAACAGGAAAAATCATCCAAGCAAAATGACGGTTTAATATCAAACATCTAAAAGTGTATTACAACTATAAACTACTAAATAATACTTGAGCAGTAATCTTAGGACAGAAGAGAAACAGCACAATTTACGTTGGATTGCAATTGGAGTGAAAAACAGTATTTTTCAATGTATTCAAATTCTCAAGGGAGTTGAATCGTATAAATTATTTCATTTCTCGTATCTATTAAGCTATATATGATAGGATCAAGCGTTAAACAAACGTCATTACTATATGGTGTCCTGAAATTCTTGGTTCAATTAGATTTCCAGGTTTCACTATGATTTCCTCTTCAAAGTCCAACAGAACTTCTAGATGAATTAGAATTAATTTTCTTTGGATACAACTATGTAACAGGACACAGCAAGATCAATAAAGCTTTAATTCTCTAGAAAATGACTTTCCATGTTTCTTGTGGATTAAGATCTAAAACCAGCTGGAAGCCTAAGGTGTTGTGAGTTCTGTACTTTTTCAAATATCTTATTGTTTATCTACAAAAGAATATCTTAGGACAATTCCAACAGCTACTTCATCTAGAAGCCAAAATCTTTCAGATATAGCACTAAAATTACCTCCACAAGATTTCAATGTAGTTCCTCCATCTATTATCCTTCAAAAAGATCATGACAATTCTATAAAAATATATGTGTGTGTGTGTGTGTGTGTGTGATATTTTGAGGTAGAAGACTGGTGAGGATCAGGAAAATGGAAGGATACAAGCTAATTACCCATTCCTATCATGGGAATATAACTTTTCACTCTAAATCACGTCATATATTTTGGAAATTTGCACTCAGAAAGCAATTTCCCTCTGGGAATAGAACTTTGCACTCACATTATCACAAAAATATATATGTGATATTTTGAGATAGAAGACTGGTGAGGATTAGGAAAATGGAAGGATACTAGCTAATTACCCATTCCTATTATGGGAATATAACTTTTCACTCTAAATCACGTCATATAGTTTGGAAATTTGCACTCACAAAAGCAATTTACCTCTGCTTCTAGAAAATCAACACTCGTTGGTTGTGAGTCCTCCACAACAAAGCTTCCCCTCACAGCATCGCTTGTAGAAGTAGTCTTAGACTCGGTAACCGAGAGTTTGTGAAAGCTGTCATGTCCACTTTCCTTGACCAGTTTGACAGTCCCATCCTTACATCCCTTTCTGTCACGTGGTTTTTGGTCCTACAGAAGAAAATAATAAGCTGTTTTTACCTTCCAAACCCCATAAGCACAAGGAAAGTTCAAACGTTATCACATATAGCATCTTACATTGGCTTGGGGTTTTGCTTCCTTATTCTCTTTATCAGATCGTAACTTCCCACCATGCTCTCGTAATCGTCTCCTAACTTCTTCAACACGCATTCTTTTTCTTTCTTTCTCCTTCCTCTCTTCTTCTTCCCTCTGTCTTTTCTTTGCTGCCATATCAACCTCCTTTTTCTTCCTTTCTTCCTCCTTCTTCTTCCGCTCTTCTTCTTTCTTCTTTTTATCCAGTTCAATCTGCCTCAAATTCTCTTGTTCCATTCTTGCTCTTTCAAGTTTCAGGGCTTCTTTCTTCATTTGACGTTCATTTTCTTTCTTTTCTGCAAGGCGTTTTGCAGCCTCAGCAGCTTCGATGGCCTTCACCTTAATATCTCTCTTCCCTACAGGAATGCACAAGTTACAGAATATAAATTACAATTCAGGCAATACACAGATCATCAGATACACGATGTTCAAACTATATCCAAGAAATGTTTAAGGTTCATGATCAATCCATGTACGTCAATATTGAATGCCGGATATAGTTAAAAAATAAATAAATAAGCATACCTTTCAAAATAGTTGCAGCTTCTCTTTGTTGGACAAGAGGAATAAAAGAAGTTATATTGGACACGATATTTCTATGCTTGGATTCCTTTTCAGAGAATCGAGGACCTTCCTTTCTGAAATCTTTTTTACAGGATAAATCTGACCGGCTAAATGTATTATAGGATGATCTAGTGACTCTTTTAGCACCGTTTTCTCCTGGCAAGGAATCACGACTCACAGCCTCATTCACATATTTCCTCTTGCTGCTTTTCTGGTTTCCCAGATTCTCTTTGGTCCCATTATGAGTCCTTGTGTTGCTTAGTTCTATGTTTAAAGATTCTAAACTCAATCTATCAGCAACCGCCACAGCTTCAGAAACTGTTACCTCGACATTTGCATCTTCTGTAATGTCAACAAGTGGTGCTCGCTTGCTCGATCTCATAGCCTTCGAAAATTCGTTATCAATCTCATCGGTATTCTCAGCTTCCTCACTAATGCAAGGAAGCTCTATGTTCTGGCTGCTTCGTTTTCCAGAACTTGACGAATTTAATGAATTTCTATCCAACAACTTACCAAATGGAGATGCAAATGGCTTCCTGAGATCACCAGCTGAATGATTGTTAAAGCTTTGCAGGCAATCAAAAGAAGACCCATGAGGAGAGCAGTTGACTTCTCCATTCAAAGAGTTACTACCATCCTTCAGTAGCTTATTTTGATCATTCATCAGAAGGTTATTCTTCAAGTCCATGCACTCTAGTAGACCATTAGGAAGAGAATTGTACAAATCTGTCACCTTGTTCAGCCTAAAACTTTCTGAAGGTGAGGATAATGTACTGTTTATACAAGCAGATTTACAAATTTTCTCCAAGATGCTAGCACGTTCTATCATACATTTTGAAAGATCTAATTTGTCAAAGTTGATTCCACCAACAGAAATGCATGGCTCTTCGTCATCAGATCGCATTAGGAACCCCTCTAAAGCAGGCATATCCTTGTCTGCACCAAGATAATGAGAAGTTTGGGTAAGTGGAGTATGAAGCGAGCACAAAGCAAGTTTCCCCTTTTCCTCCATTCCATCAGTTTTCCCAGTATCCGTAGGAAGTTCAATATCTCCACACTGAAAATTTTCTTCGGGAACCAAACTTTGGCTCTCTAGCATACCATTTTGCAATGGTGTACCTCTGTTATTGCTTCCGAACCGAGAGAGATCCTGTCAATCATGCACAAAGAAACAAGATCGTGAAGTAAATAGAAAAAGTAAAAAAGGAGGAAAAAATCAATCAAATCCCTGCCAAGAAATTTGTTAGAAACTGATACGTCAGCATTTAGTGAACATTACACCCTAATAAAAGCACAATCAGAATGACCACCATCATCTCCCTTACTAAAGCTGGCTCCATCCTTTCAAGAACAGTATGCAGAAAACAACATATTAAAAAGAACAAAATCAACTTTGTTATATGAATTGGAAGAATTATTTTCACGTTATACCCTAATAAAAGCACAAACAGAATGACCACCATCATCTTCCTTCCTAAATATGGCCCCATCCTTTCAAGAACAGTATGCAGAAAACAACATATTAAAAAGAACAAAATCAACTTTTGTTATATGAATTGAAAGAATTATTTTCACATTCTTCCACAGGTACTTTAGCAATAAATGTAAGTGATATGCATTTTAGTGTACCAATGTTTCACCAAAGAGATCAATATACTTGAAAACAACACAGTTCAATTGTTTGATCTTAACTTCTTAAGTACACCTAAGTGCCTAAGTGCCTTCCTTAGCTTAACCGTGAAGTAAAATGCATATCACCAGCTGAATGACTGCTAAAGCTTTGCAGACGTAGAGGAACATGAAAATAACTAGACTAAAGAAGGAAATACTTGGCTATAGAGTCTAATGGTTAAAAATACAAGAGATTATAAGTCTAATGATGGAAAAAATGGAGGTGAGGACCTATTTGGTGATGATGACTGGTTCTGGGTCTGCCTCGTGATGTTGTAGTTTATTTTTAAAGATTTTGAAGACTATGCATGAACTATGTTTGTTTTTAATAGTCAACCTGCCAAGGCATGTTTGATAATGTCTCATCTCTTGTTTTTCATTTTCTGATACGGAAATAAAATGTGTTTGGCAGTTATTTTTCTAATCCTTCATTTTTTATTGAAGAAAAAGGAATTATAGATGTGTTCGGTCTGACTTCTTATTCTCTAACATTTGATATAACAAAATGAAAATTCTACTTGAAAATATAATTTTTTTGAAAGTAAAAAATTCAAAATTATATTTATATTTTCAATTTTTTATATTTCATAGGTACTTCATTAGTTAAAATTATTTTAAATACTACTTTTAAATGTTTGAGAAAAATTGGAAACAAGCAGATTTCTTTTCCAAAATTATCTTGAAAATGAGAAACAGGAAAATGGTTATTGCCCAGAAGAACACAAAAAACGAAAGCAAGAAACAGAAATGTTAATGACCTAAAGGAGGGGGGTATCAAATACCTCTTACTTTCTATACCTCATACATCATGCTAGTTCTTAATATTATATGTATTTTAATGTATATTTTATTATCGTGTGCTTCAAGCCTTCAAAAAAAAATTCCTGCATCCAGCAAAGCCCTAAGAGATTATTGCAGTTCACACTTAAAAACACTAGCTAGAAAAATCTTCCCGTTGTAATACATACCTCTTTGACTGGAAGCGTGGATGAAGAATCAGACCCCTGAATTAAGCGAGCTTCTTTTTCCAATCGCAATATTTCAGTGGGGCCGATGCTCACATTTGGTTGTTGGTAACCTTCTTCACAAAATGATAATCGTTGAAGTTCAAGGACAGGTTTTTCAGTGTCAAATTCCTGCATCAAGTCTTTATCTATGGGACTCCTGTTGATAATTTGAAGTTGCTCAATCCTCAAGCCGAAAGACGCTGGAATACCATTGTCCAATTGCAGCTCAACCTCTATCTCCTTTTCATTAGAACTAGATGCCCTCAAAACTGAGCTGAAAGTTTTTAACTCTATTGATGTCTCTGCAGTCTGGCACTCTGTTGATACGTAATGATGGTTACCATTCTGCTCAGTGCAACCCTCAAAGGAATCTGAATCTTCACACTGAGTTATGCCTGAACTTTTCAGTGGCTTCTCCAAATTACTATCCCCCTCACCAGCGCAAGGAACACAAGGAGCCATGACCATGTGATCAGTGCAACCCTCAAAGGAACCTGAATCTTCACACTGAGTTATGCCTGAACTTTTTAGTTGCTGTTCCAAATTACTATCCCCCTCACCAGCGGAAGGAACACAAGGAGCCATGACCATTTGATCTCTAAACGTTTCTGTATCTCTTATCAGAATTGATGCATCGTCTGTATCCACTAGTTGAATTTCAACTGCATTTTCATGGGAATACTGCAAATTTGGCACTCCGTCTTTCAAAGAAATATTTTGTTCTGCAGGTTCATCACTTTGCAGCAAAGAACAAGTAGCTACTTCTTTATCATATCTCTTTTCACTTTGAGATTCATATACACCTTTATCATATTCGTCTTCGTTCAATGAGTCGACCTGAATCTGCGGCATAGGCATGTGCAGGGGTGAATTGCATTTTTCTTTTTCATTAACATCCCTCTTGTCATCCACGGAAGTGGAGGGCTTCTTATCTGATGTTTTCTCCCTTACTTCCGTTATTGGTGAACTGGAAATTTTGTCTAAACCAGACTTTTCTGCATTATTATCAAAATTACAATCTTGGGTCCTGCAGTCTCCTAGTCCTTCTTCATGGCATTCAATATTGGCAGAAGAAGGCCTAAACAACTCCGACGGCTCACTCACTTGATCAGAATGTAGTTTTGAACTTCCAACGGAACGAGTTCCATTTTCAGAAGAAAAGCATGATGAATTATCCGCATCCAGGGAGTTATGTTGCATCCCAGACTTTTGAGCATTATTAAAATTATACTCCTGACTCCTGAAATCTCCTAATATTTCTTCTTCACAACACTCCATATTGTCGGAAGAAGATTTAGATAAGTCCAATCGCTCTTTCAGTTCATCAGAATGCACTTCTGAACTTCCATTAGGACATGATCGTCTGTCCTCAGGGTGGACGTATGAAGACTTATCTACATCCTGGGAGTTGTATAGCGACCCAGCCTCTCGGGCATTATCAAAATTACATTCCTGGCTCCTACAATGTCCTAAAATAGTTTCTTCACAGCATTTGACATTGCCAGAAGAAGGGTTAGACAAGTCCAATAATCTTCCATCAGTGGCGTCAATGCATGCTGAATCGTCCACATCCGGAGAACTTCGTTGTGACTCGGACTGTAGAGCATTGTCAAGATTACATTCCTGGCTCCTGCAGTCTACTAATACTGCCTCTTCACAGCACTCAACATTGTCAGAAGAAGGTTTAGGCAAGTCCAGTTGCTCATCCACTTGATCAGAATGCAATTTTGATCCTCCTATAGGATACCCTCTTCCATCTTCAGGGGGAATGCGTGAAGATTTATCCACATCCAAAGAGCTACATTGCAACCTAGAGAGTTCAGCGTTATCAAAATTAGATTCCTGACTCCTGCAACTTGCCGGCCCTTCTTCACAGTATCCAATCTTTCCCGAAGAAGTACTAGGCGAGTCAAATTGCTCATTCACTTTATAAGAATTCCGCGTTGAACCTTCCGCTACACATAACCCTTCATTTTCTATGTAAATATTTAAAGAATTAACCACATCAATAGAGCTACTTTGCAACCCAGGGCTTCCAACTATTGTAACTTTATCAGAGCAAATAGAGATATTCTTCTGCTCGTAACAAACATTAGTTTCCTCTTCCACTGAACCAATTCCCTTACAGCTGCTAGAAGGCTTTGCCAACTCTGATTCATCTTCGTGATCAGCTTGCAGCAAACTAATAGCAGATCCCACAATCCCATCAGCAATGGAATCATTCTTGTTCTCATACCGGGAGTGGCACCTAGAAGATTTCACACTATTACGCAACTCTAAAGGCCTTTGCCTAGATTTATCAGAGCAAATAGAGATATTATTCTTCTCGCAACAAACATTAGTTTCCTCTTCCACTGAACCAATTCCCTTACAGCTGCTAGAAGGCTTTGCCAACTCTGATTCATCTTCGTGATCAGCTCGCAGCGAACTAATAGCAGACCCCACAATCCCATCAGCAACGGAATCATTCTTGTTCTCATACGGGGAGTGGCACCTAGCAGATTTCGCACTATTACGCAACTCTAAAGACCTTTGCCTAGATTTATGAGAGCAAATAGAGATATTCTTCTGCTCACAACAAACATTAGTTTCCTCTTCCACTGAACCAATTCCCTTACAGCTGCTAGAAGGCTTTGCCAACTCTGATTCATCTTCGTGATCAGCTTGCAGCAAACTAATAGCAGATCCCACAATCCCATCAGCAATGGAATCATTCTTGTTCTCATACCGGGAGTGGCACCTAGAAGATTTCACACTATTACGCAACTCTAAAGGCCTTTGCCTAGATTTATCAGAGCAAATAGAGATATTATTCTTCTCGCAACAAACATTAGTTTCCTCTTCCACTGAACCAATTCCCTTACAGCTGCTAGAAGGCTTTGCCAACTCTGATTCATCTTCGTGATCAGCTTGCAGCAAACTAATAGCAGATCCCACAATCCCATCAGCAATGGAATCATTCTTGTTCTCATACCGGGAGTGGCACCTAGAAGATTTCACACTATTACGCAACTCTAAAGGCCTTTGCCTAGATTTATCAGAGCAAATAGAGATATTATTCTTCTCGCAACAAACATTAGTTTCCTCTTCCACTGAACCAATTCCCTTACAGCTGCTAGAAGGCTTTGCCAACTCTGATTCATCTTCGTGATCAGCTTGCAGCAAACTAATAGCAGATCCCACAATCCCATCAGCAATGGAATCATTCTTGTTCTCATACCGGGAGTGGCACCTAGAAGATTTCCCACTATTACGCAACTCTAAAGGCCTTTGCCTAGATTTATCAGAGCAAATAGAGATATTATTCTTCTCGCAACAAACATTAGTTTCCTCTTCCACTGAACCAATTCCCTTACAGCTGCTAGAAGGCTTTGCCAACTCTGATTCATCTTCGTGATCAGCTTGCAGCAAACTAATAGCAGATCCCACAATCCCATCAGCAATGGAATCATTCTTGTTCTCATACCGGGAGTGGCACCTAGAAGATTTCCCACTATTACGCAACTCTAAAGGCCTTTGCCTAGATTTATCAGAGCAAATAGAGATATTATTCTTCTCGCAACAAACATTAGTTTCCTCTTCCACTGAACCAATTCCCTTACAGCTGCTAGAAGGCTTTGCCAACTCTGATTCATCTTCGTGATCAGCTTGCAGCAAACTAATAGCAGATCCCACAATCCCATCAGCAATGGAATCATTCTTGTTCTCATACCGGGAGTGGCACCTAGAAGATTTCCCACTATTACGCAACTCTAAAGGCCTTTGCCTAGATTTATCAGAGCAAATAGAGATATTATTCTTCTCGCAACAAACATTAGTTTCCTCTTCCACTGAACCAATTCCCTTACAGCTGCTAGAAGGCTTTGCCAACTCTGATTCATCTTCGTGATCAGCTTGCAGCAAACTAATAGCAGATCCCACAATCCCATCAGCAACGAAATCATTCTTGTTCTCATACCGGGAGTGGCACCTAGCAGATTTCGCGCTATTACGCAACTCTAAAGCCCTTTGCCTAGATTTAGATCTATGTAACCGTGCCCGTGACAGAGTAGGATCTTGGTAGTTTTCTAAAACTACGCCTCCTCGACCTTGGGGAGAAACAGGAGTTGTGTCAACACGAGGTGCGCAATTAAAGACACGGGCGTCACTTACATTGCACTGAGGTAAAACTGCAGGCCTAATTCCTGCATCAAAATCATCGTTTAAAGAACCAGCATCTTCATTCAACCTTTGCTGCAACTCCTCCCCACTGTTTGCAACAAATGCCTCATTCAAACTAGAACAATGGGTCTGAAGCGGCGACCGTGGGACCTCAACTCCAGGAACAAAATTCCTGCTCACTCCTACACCTAAAAGAAACCAATTGAGCAAAAAATTTGCGCAATGGAGAAATTCTTGCTTCGACCTAACTAAACATGGAGCATAAGAAATGAAAAATTACGACAAAAACGCGAAGTTACCTTCAAAATGCGAAATGTTGGAATGAAGAAAAGGCGAGTGGAGCCAAGGCGGAGGAACAATTCCATCGATAATGAGCTTGGACGCAAGTTGCTGGTCGAAGAGATCGATCTGGTGCTTGGCCTGGTCAATGATCCACTTCTTCCTCTCAAAGATCTGCACGAATAGCTTCTCCATCGCCGCCATGTTTCACAGAATGGCCATGAAAAGAGAGAGAGAGAGAGAGAAGAGATGAACAGTTCGAGTAACAGAGAGGAAGAAGAGTTGAGTTTCAATGGAGGGTTTTCCGACGAAGAAGAAACACTTTCGCGAGTAGCGGGCGAAGTGAATTCAAATTTTGGGAGACTTCGGTCCTCGTTCGAACCAAAAATAATACAAATAAATAATAAATGTATTTTTTATTATTATTATTATTTAATATTTTAAATTATTAGCTAAATTAATAAAAATATCTTTAATATATTTTATTTCAATAATATTATTAAACTATTTCAAAAATAAATTTTTTAAGTAAAAAAAATTAATTTAAAAATAGCCTTACCATTTCTACCATATTTTAAAATTTTATCGTGAATTTTTAAAAGTTACATATAATCTAAATTTTTTAAATAATAAATGTATTTATTATTCTTATTATTTAATATTTTAAATTAATATATTTTATTTCAATAATATTATTAAACTATTTCAAAAATAAATTTTTTAACTTGAAAAAATTAATAATTTTAAAAATAGCCTTAAATTTTTCAAAAATATCCTTACACTTAATACCATATTTCAAAATTTTATCGTCAATTTTTAAAAGTAACATTAAAAAATTAGATAAAGACGTTGGTTTTCGTTTGTATATTAATGGTAATATTTTTTTATTTTATAAAGGTTAAATGATGTTAATGCTACTCTTAAATTTTCATAAATATTTTTTAAGCATAGTACTAACGATAAGGGCACTTTTGAAATTTTTAAGAAGATGAAGGATATTAATACAACTTTTTAAAGTTTTAGGGTATTTTTAATATTATTAAAAGTTTAATTTATGTTTTTTTTTTATCCAGTTTTTAAATTCAACGGTAAAAATTAACACTATAAATGAAACAATTTTTGTAATTCAAGGCTAAAAATATAATTTTGTTTATAGTGTTAATTTTTACCGTTAACAAGTTTCAAATTTTTGTAATTAACGGAATATTTACTATACGGTGTTAAAAAATCGATAACTTAAAAAATTTGATCGATCCAACTTAACTCATACGGTTTGAATTTGGTTATGAACTTGTTCAGATTGAGTTTGATTCAAATAAATGGAAATTTTATGAATTGGGTTAGTTTTTCGGGTTATCGTAAAACTATATTGAGTTGAACCGAATTAATTATAATTTATTATGCACGTCCTCCTTGGCATACCGTCGAGAACATGGCTCTATACCATTTGTAACAGCCACAACCAACTGCTACCAAATATTGTCTGATTTGGTCTATTATGTATTGTCGTCAATTTCACAGTTTTAAAATGAATCTGTTAAGAAAAAGTTTGCACACTCTTCTAAAAAAATGTTTTGTCTGAGATCTCACAATAATTTGTAACAGCTCAAGCCAAACCACTAGCAGATCTTTAAACCGGTCCAAACAATGTAGGATCTCACAATCCACCTCCTTTGGGGACCCAACGTCCTCGCTGGCACACCGCCCATAATCCAGGTCTGATATCATTTGTAACAACTCAAACCAACCACTAGCAGATATTATCTGCTTTGGTCCGCTCCAAACAATGTGGGATCTCATAATCCACTTCTTTATAACCGCTCAAGTCCACCATTAATAAATATTTTCCGTTTTGTATATATATAGATAAATATTATCATAAATTTTAATAAAACTAAATAATTAATTATCTTTCATTTTCTACCTATATTCGTGAATTATTATTAAGGAGTTAATTAATGAATAATTAATTCCAATTAAAAACATTAAAAAAACGGATACAATTAATTCCAAATTGATTTTACTTAAAAATAAATTAACTACAAATAATAGAAAAACCAAATGCTTTTTCCGTTATTATAAATTATTTAATAGACAAATTTAATTTACTAATTATTATTTGATTAATTAATATTTTTAACGTGAGTAATTAACGAATTTAATATATCTTAGGGGATGAAAATTAAATTTAATTTAATCACAATTTATTAGTCTAAAATGAAGCCAAAAATTTCAGTTTAAATAAAATATATCGACCCAGATCAACGCTAGCAGACTGTCATTTTTAGGTTTTCCCTCTCGAACTTCCCTTTAAGGCTTTAAAACACGTCTGCTAGGAGAAGGTTTCCACACCCTTATAAATGGTGTTTTGTTCTCCTCCCCAACGACTATGGGACATCACAATAGAGTGTTTTGTTCGCCATCAAATGGTATCAGAGTCAGACACCGAATGATGTACTAGCTTTCTCGTTGTTCTTTGAAGGTGGTAGACACGAGACGGTGTGCCAGTAAGGATGTTGAGCCTCAAAGGGGGGTGGATTTGATGGTGGTCCCATAGAGGAGGAAAAAGTGCCAGGGAGGATGCTGGGTCCCGAAGGGGGTGGATTGTGATGTCTCACATTAGTTGAGGAAGATAACAAAACACGATTTATAAGGGTGTGGAAACCTTCCCGTGGCAGACGCGTTTTAAAGTCTTGAGGGGAAACCCGAAAGAGAAAGCCCAAAGACGACAATATCTGCTAGTAGATCTAGAAAGTAGTAGGAATAATCTTTTTCGAAATGGAGTCAGAAATGAGAATTATATTCCACGTTCTTTCTCATAGGCATCTCCACGTGTATATATATATATATACTTTCATTGTGATTTAATAAAATATTTATTAATTTTACAGACAAAAAAATTAATATTTGTTTGATTGTATTTTAATTAGTTATTATTTATGTTAATATTAAGTAACTTCGTTAGATAACTAAATGAATTTAAATTTATTAATAATTATAATTAGTTTAATAAAAAAATTGTATTAAAATATGAAGAATGGTATATTAATAATTAAGATATATCTAATTTATATTCTAAATTATTATAATTATGGGAAGAGTATTAATGATTTATGATTTCGATTTTCCATAATTATTAACGAATAATTATATTATTATTTTTAAATTTTTTACACGAAATCGAGAACGTATGAAGTTGAATTAAGAAGTTCACCTCGTTTAATTATCTTTATACTAACCGTCGAGAACGGGTTCTATCTGAATTTTAAAATTTTAAAATTATAAATTTAATTTATGAACCGTTAAAAAAATTTTAAATTTACGAATTTATTAAATATAAAATAAAAAAAAAAACCCCGAGATATGAATAAAGCTTATTTCGAAGGCTCAATTGGATGAAAAATTTAAAGTTTATAAATTTATTAGACACTTTTAAAAATTTTAAGGATCAAATAGATAAAGATCTCAAACGTCGGGTTTGAAAGTTCAAGGACTTATTAGACACTTTTGAAGATTTAAGGATCAAATAGATATAGATCTAAAACGTGAGTTTAAAAGTTTAAGGACTTATTAGACATTCTTAAAGATTTAAGGATCACATAGATACAGATCTCAAATGTCGGGTTTGAAAGATCAAATAGATACATATCTCAACCGTCAAGTGGAAAGTTTAAGGACTTATTATGCATTTTTTAAAATTTAAGGATCAAATAAATACAGATCTCAAACGTCAGGTTTAAAAGTTTAAGGACTTATTAGACACCTTTAAAAATTTAAGGATCAAATAAATATAGATCTCAAACGTCCTAAACCAAAGCCATGAGAGCTTATGCTCAAAGTGGACAATATCATACCATTGTGGAAAGTCGTGTTCATCTAACATGATATCAGAGTCATGCCTTAAACTTAGTCGTGCTAATAGATTGATAAATCTCAAATGTCGAACAAAGTACTCCAAAAGAAAAAAGAGTCGAGCCTCCTCGAAAGCAGTAAAAAATTACTAAGACTTCAAATGAGCTTAAGGGGAGGCGTTGGATGATGAAAATCCTACGTCAGCTGATTTAGGGAATGATCATTGGTTTATAATAAGTTTGAAATGTGAAATACCTATTATACACTTTTAAAATTTTAAGGATCAAATCGACAGACCAAACGTTTAAGGATCTATTACACACTTTTGATACAGATCTCAAACATCGTGTTTGAAAGTTTAAGGACCTATTAGATACATCGTGTTTGAAAGTTTAAGGATCAAATAGATACATATCTCAAACGTTTGAAAGTTTAAGGATCTATTATACATTTTTTAAAATTTAAGGATCAAATAGACATAGATCTCAAACGTTCGAAAGTTTAAGGATCTATTAGACACTTTTAAAAATCTAAAGATCAAATAGATACATATCTCGAACGTTGAAACTAAACTTATAATTAAAAAACATGTACCGTCAATAATCTTATAATCTAAATATTTTATATTATCAAACAACCATATAATAAAAATTAAATATTCCTAAACATATAAAATTTATATAACTTAAGAGATATCTAAAAAATTGCAATTAAGAAACAACAAATCTTGACATGAAAAATCTTGAAACAAAGATGTTTTCAAATTCACTAAAATCCCCTTTTGCATATTTGGGGTCTCCCAAAAAGAAGCTTATGCTTGAAGTACTTGGGAGCATATCGAGGGGCGGAGCGAGAGGGGTCCTGACTTTCGTGTCTGGAGCTTCTCTTTGATCATCTTAGCTTCAGCTTCTGGGGGCGAAACTAAGAGAAAGTGGGTCAGCACCGGCAGCACAGACAGCACAGACAGCGCAGACACCATGTCTCTGGGTTACGCAGAGAAGCTTTCGTTCATAGAAGACGTTGGAAAAGTGGGAATGACAGAACATTTTGACCCACCTCACGTTTTAGAAGAAAAGGTTGATTATCTCCTTTTTCATTGTTCTTTGTGCTATTTCGTTTGTCGGGTTTGCGATCTTCTGCAATTTCGGTGTCGATCAATGTTATTTGTGTCTGGTTTTTGAACACAAACATGTTTTTTTTTATGGTGCATTTTCGAAGCAGGGGTGTCTTGAAGTTTTTAATTGTACGATAGCTTGTTATTCACGAGATCTTGAAGCTATGATATGCCATTTTGTGTTTGATTTCGAGTTGCTTTGTGGGTAATTGAACTGATGTTTGTAAATCCGTATGAAGGGAAATGCAGATTCTTCTCTAGGCAAGAACATCTATGTTTGGCTTAGTTAAAGCATGCAATGGAGTGCATATATGAATTCATTTGAAATAGAATAAGTTTCGATAGCTATCTACTTGATTGAATGATCTTGTTGTTTTATGATGAACACTGTTAACTT